CAGTCACTCCGTGAATTTTGAGCTATCGTGTTCTGTTATTATTCTATAAATATGCCGAAAATTAAGCAAACTATTTCCACTGTTTAAAAAAAATACGTATTTTAGATAACCTTATACCTTGGTGAGAATGTGTTATCATGTGATATATCCGTACTTTTCTGTAAATTGTTCAAAAACATAAATAAATGCTGAACGGAGGTATACAGTTACACGCCATATCAAAACTGCAAAGCATCAACGGGTGGTTAATCTACAAAATACAAATCACCGGTAAACATTGTTTYGTACCTATACATTATTTTCATCCAAATTCGAGTGACAGATATTCCGACCACGCTTTTGTCAAACCTACACAATGTATTGCATGTGAACTTACGTTTGTTGGAGAAAGTTTGATGGTGATTTCTTAGCGACTAGAGTAAAACGCCATACGCCGCTCGAATAAAAAAAAAATAAAAATAAAATAAAAGTTARTGGTACAGAGTTGGCGACGACAACGTCGACACCGTCGCGCGTCATGTTGTTGCAAATCACAGTAACGGCGTGACGGCGAGGATGGTAGCCGGCAGGGGAGGCAATTATAAAGTGGCATTTTGTCCGGAAATTAAAAACGTTTAATAGAAAAACCTTTTCTATTCCATYCCGCCGGATGCCTCATGCGGCCGGAACTAAAACAATAGCGACATTTGTAATATTACAGCATTTTACCGTCCAAATCTAATGGTATTATAACAATGAAAATGTCGAGATTAGAGAATTTTTCGTTTTTATTTTCTGTTATTTTACTATCTATTACCTGTTATTATTATCCTTTCTTTTTACTTCGCGTGTTATTTAGTTTTTMAAATACATTTTCAGCAATGGGGTATTGCCATTGTTATTCGGCATCATACATAATATGATTTATAATAGATATTTTTCTAAACGAAATGAATGTATATAAAATTATTAATGTCTGCGTGAGTCTAAAAATCATATTTCAGCGTATTCGTACTAAAGAAAAGAAATTCAAACACAATAGCATAAAATCAGAGTGCTCAAATTATTGTTAACTGAGTATTATTTTGTCTGTGCTTCGCGATATCAAATGCACGCTGGTATGATGATTTCAAGATATATTATGAAGTTACTTCTGAATCATATTTCATTTCTTTTTCTACTTAAATCACAATAGCCAAAAGACAACCATAAAACATGCCGTTTTTAATAAATGTTCTGTTTTTTACTTATAAATGTTACTTTTTTTACCTTCAAAACAAATTATGATTTTTATTATTTGTTGCACTTGACTGTAACAATTTGTAAGACTCGAATTTAGTACGGAAATATTTGTTCACTAAATGCAGGTGTTCCACCAGTGACTTCTGATCAAATATAAAGTCAAGTACTCAAGTGGATCATATTATTATTTGAGAGGATGTCATAACCGCAAATATTGTCTCTGCATTACAACCACGCAGCATAAAAAATTGGCGTTCTTCAGAACCAATAATTTATTTTTAGATTTAATACTGGAGTGTGAATTGCCTAATTATTATCAAGGAAAAGATAAGTCGTCATCTATGTTCTTGCGTTGGTTTTTTTAAAATGATTTATTAATAAGTTTTAAGCTAGTTATGGGTACCTACACAAAATATAATACTCGTGATTTGTATTTGATCTCTTAATATTTTCTTTTAATTAAAACCTCAATTAAAATTAAATTATTATTTRATTGAAAAATGTACATAGTAAAATAAATTAGATTATAAAAAATTAAAAGTATTAAATTATATTTAATCAAAACTATTGCAATGATGCTCAAAATATCGTGTTATCTGTTACACACTAATTATTGAAAAATATGCTAATTTTAAAGTATTAAACTAATTGATTTTTAAACGTGTAGTTGGAGTTTGGTGTCCTACCAAGAAGATGTTTAATATTCACCTCGTAGCTTTTTTTTATACTTCAGAATAAATTCATATTTAAATATTTTATTCAATTTGTGACAGTTATATAAACATAGCATATTGTTTATTTCATGGGAAATAAAATCCAATAATTATATAAATAACCATCAATAGCTGAGTTAAGATAAAATATTTAAACGATAATAATTATGCATTTATTTGRTTACCGTCTGATTATAATTTTATTCAATGAGATTACTGAGAGGGTCGATGTGTTATAAAACGTAATAGTTAAACWCCTACTTAAGTTGTCAATGTATTTTAATTCAACACATGAATGTCAAGCGAAAATAAATATTTTATCAATTCACCTGTATCAAAATGTGATGATAGCTCGTTTGGACGATTAATTTAAATGTCACTATTATTTATCATATTAAACTTACGTGACGTATAAGTTACGTCAATATTTTATCAGACTGTAAACGTATTAATAGATAATATTGAAGATTTTGTGTATCACTGTGACATACCTATATTTAAACTGGGMAAATGTATTTTAATCGACTCAATCTATACAAATAGCTTTTACGCGAAGGTACTCTTAAAAGTGAATTCATTATGAATTACCGAATTTCTGTAAATGTCAACATTTGTGTTGTAACCAGCGAATACCACGAAATGTCTTTTTATATGCACCGAAGAACGATGATAATTAGATGCCCTTTAATTATTTATTTAAATCAAAGTGGCAATAAAAAGTATAAAACATTTAACCTTGACTTAATTCATATTTTATCACAAAATACGTAATTGAACATTTTTTTTTTCGAAATATTGTATTTTGATTTTTATAAATGGTTTTGAGTACTATAATATCAGTCTTAAGACTTATTTAGTTGAAAATTACATTATATGTTATCTAATCTAGATTAAAAGGTCATCTTTCTTTTTTAAATTTTAGATGAAAGCTTCAGTTATCCATATTAATTTATCTAGATAATTGTTATGCATAGGTATTTATTTAAGAAGTATTATAGTATGATGTACATTTTTATATTTGGTGTTTTAAAACCATAATAATTTAGTTTGATAGAAGGTATTTAGTACTTTTAAATTATATGAATAAATCTTAAGCAGTCACAAGACATACAATATAGTAGGTATCTTGATAGTCAGCATTCCATAATTTATTGTTTGCTGTGTTATATTTATTTTCCAATATTACAATGTGGATACGTACAGCCACTATATTTTTAATCGGATGTGGCAGTGATTTATATAATAATAGTGTATTTATGCTTTTACCCTTTTAGACGAATTTATTTATACATAATATATATAATAATTGTATTGTTTATTTGCATATAATACTAAGTACATATAATATGTTGTATATCCCGTGAAATAACCCATAAAAACATAGTTAATTAGGTACTGGTTTATTTCGTATATTATATGTCGTGCCGATTGCAGAAGTTTATAGTTTACATATATATATATATATATATATATAAAATACAATCAAGTCGCGATAATCAAGTCGAAGGGGGATACAAATTCGATTCGAGATATCTAACTGATTAATAGAGTAAGAATTTTGTAGGGTAAGAAAAATTGGAGTTGTCGAGTTATTTGAGTGATAGAGATTCGAGTTATCCATGCCAATTTTATCAATAAATCTATACACAGTTTACAGACAGGATACATAATGGTATATCTATATAGGTACTTTACGAGCTTATTTTATTTTAAAAATTTGAATTAATCTACTTAAGTTTTCTTAATGGTGTAAGTAGAAATTAAAACTAAACTTAACAATCAAAATGTTGTTTAAAACAATTATAGGTAGATTTAATGCTGTTTTATTTTATTTAGAAGTATTATACAGGGTGATTTTTTTATCATTGAACACTCATTATTTAAAAAAGTATTTACTTTTTTCAAAATATTTTTTTACATAGTTTCAAGTTGTTAAAAAAACAAACGTTTTTATTAAAAAATTATATTTTTAAATATTGTTTATCCTTATCATTTTTTAAGTTTTTTACTTTTTTGAATGACAACATAGAGTTTTAATTTCA